GATCCTGCTGCCACGTGCCCTCCCTGCCCCTCAAGGCACTGTGGCTCTGTCATCTGGGCCCCCACAGCTGTCCAGGCTACGGTGCCTTGGCTGAGATCCCCCTGACCCAGAGTTGTGTCTCCACAGAGCCTCTGCCATGATGTGGAAGAGCATTGCCTCCTCGGGAACAGCAGTGGAGAAGGTGCTGCCGACACTGCTGAATGTGATGGAGGATTGGCCAGTGCACAGTGTGTCTACCTCCGACGGTGATCAGAGAGACGTGTTTGCCCTGGCTGTGAGTTTTTATAAGTGGCCTCTGCTCCTCCCACATTGCCTCTCCAGAGACTCTCCCTCCTCCCCCACCACTGGCTCAGGCATTGGACTGGAAATGTGGCTGAAGGGCAGGTTCAGGGGCACCAGGCCGGCTGCTCCCCCTGGGTCTGCCCTGGCCTCTCTCTCCTACTCTCGGACCCACAGAGACAACTCACACTGAGCACTGTCTCCGTGTGGTTTGATTGCAGGCAACCATGGCACTGTGGCTGATCCTGCAGGAGCCCAAGTGCCAGGATGCAGTGCAGAATTCTGTCCCCCGCCTGCTCGTGGCTCTGCTCTTCCAAGTGTCCTTGAGCACAGAGCAGGTGCCAGAGGAGGTGAACACGTTCTGGAGGAGATGCCGGAAGCGACACCGCCTTCCCAGTGACCCCAACAGGTGCTCCATCCCAGTCCTCTCTCCCTCCCATGCCCTCGGGGCTGTGGCCAGGGCTCCCAGCATGACCTTGGCTTTGCTCTGCACACAGGTTTCTGGTACAGACCATCGAGGCCCTGCTGTACCGCCTGCAGTGGGAGGATATTTTGATGGCAAGGCGGCGCAGGCTTGCCTGGGACCCACTGGTTAATTCTGACCCCCACCACTCTGCAGTGGGTCTGCATGTCAGGTGAGCCACCCTTGTCCCTGCTGCCCCCATCATCTCTGCCCTGGGCATGGGGCACCCCACACAGCCCCCGTGGGTGATGGCCAGAGGGCCTTGGCCCCAAGGGATGTCTGAGCAGATTGCAAAAGGCTGGGAGAGGGAAGTGCACAGAAGGAGCCACCTGCCAAAGTGCCCATGTCCCATTCTGGGCTGCTGGGGAAAGACCAGGCCTGTGTGAGTGAGTGCTGGGAGAGCTTTGCCCACCCTGCTCACAGTCCATGGTTTTGCCTCTGACAGGGAGATGCGCCGCCAGTTGACCCCCTCCCATTCTCCACTGGCAATCCACCTGCTTGGGATGCTCAGCAGTGTGGACCCCCGTTGGGAGCTGCCTGCCCTGGAGTTCCTTGTGGAGGTGAGCCTGATGGCCAGCACTGCCTGGCCCGCCTGCCTGCCCCTCTCTGCCCTCTGGCAGCCGCTGCCGGGACGGTGCCTGCGCCCTGTGCTGCTACCTGGGCACAGCCCTGGGTGGCTCTGGGCTCCTGCCACCCGGGCACCCATCACTGCCCTCTGCCTTCCAGGTTCTGGACTATCTGGACGGGAGAGAATGTCACGGCAGTGTCCAGCAGATCCTGTCGAGGCACCTGCAGAGCGAGTGCCCAGAGAGACGTCGCCTGGCTCTGAGAGGCCGCATGGTGCTGTGGATGGATCTGTCAATGGTGAGAAGGG